CCCAAAGCCACCGGCCAGGGCCTGCCCAGACCCCTTGGTGCGCTCCCGTAGCGGGCGCGTTGAAGGGTTCCTGCTTCCACCTCCCCAGAGGGTCGCCGACACCCCGGCTGTCGCCTGCCGCGGTCAGCACCCAGAACGCGGCGAGACGAGCTCCAGCCTTAGGGTGGAAGAGCTGGAGGCAGCTGGAAAAGAGGGAGGAATCGGGGTGTGTGGGATTTCTCAGGCGAAGGGTTCGAAGACGTCGCTCGGGTACCGAGGCGGGACGGTGCGGGTTTGTGTCCCGGCCGCCCGTCACGCCTCCTGCGTGGGACATGGCTCCGCTTCCTGCTCCCGTGTCTGCTCCCCCCGCCTCCCGCTCCCGTGTCTGCTCCCCCAGCCTGACCCCATTTTCCATCGGCAGAGGAGGGTGTGTTGGATCCAGCCAGCTGCTGGGGGATTGCCCGTGGCTGATCTCCCTGTGTCTGTAGGATCCACCTGATGGCCGGGCGGGTTCCCCTGGGCACGGAGCGGGCAGCAGTGGCAGGAGAGATGGAAACCACCTTCATTGAGAATCTCAGATACGCTGCCGACCTCCTGGCCCAGGTAAGGAGGAACAGGTCCCGCTCCGTGGGTGCAGCTCTTGGGGTGCCAAGGATGGAGAATTCCCCCCCACCAGCCTGGCACGGGGAGGGAGCGCTCCCTGCTGCAGAGGTGACCGGATGCTCTGCAGGGTGACATTTCCCTGTTACAGGAAGACATGATCGGACTGGTGGAGCCTATTAACAACCGCATCACCGACCCTCGCTACTTCCTGAACACCCCGCACCAAGGTAAGGCAGACGTCTGTCCCCAGTCTCCTTCCAGGGAGAAGGATCCCAAACTCTGGAGGGCAGGAGGTTGCCTCACTCGGGGGATCAGAGCTGATGAATGGGAGTCTCAGGGCTTCACCATGAAGCTTCCAGCCTGGGGGTGATGGTCTCTTGTGTCTTGCACCCTCAGCTGCTGCCATCCTGGAGAAGGTGGGACACCCCAACCTGAAGCTGCAGCTGGTGAGTCCACACTGAACATCCCCAGGGTCCACCCTCCACCAGGGAGCCTGGATTAGGCCCCGGGGGGAGTCCCAAGGGCTGTGGGCTTGTAATCCCCTCCTGGGGCTGTGGGGAGGGAGAGGGGCCAAGCACAGCCATCCTCTACCACTCCCTGAACAGCCGCAGCATCCGTCTCCCCTCTCTCCCACAGGACCTCTTTCACTGCCAGATCATGGATGGGAATTTGTCACGCAACCTGGAGACATACTTCCCGCTCATCGGTAATGCCCTGCACCCACGCTGGCTCCGCTGTGGCCAGAGGGCAGGAGTGGCTTTGCGATGGGGCCCTGCTGCCCCACACTGCTCTGGCTGGTGGCTGGGGAAGGATCTGCTCTCAGGGCACCTTGTCCCATGCCCAGCACGGGCTGCGGGCAGGGCTGCCTGGGGCAGAGCATCTCGCGTTCCCTCCCCAGGTCACATCCAGATTGCGCAGGTGCCGGGGCGGCACGAGCCCGACAGCCCCGGGGAGCTGAGCTTCCCCTACCTCTTTGAGCTCCTGGAGTCCCTCGGCTACACTGGCTACGTGGGGTGCGAGTACGCGCCGAAAG